CAGAAAGACCTTAAAAAGACCAAGGTCTCCCCCTGTATCCGGGGCTATCTCCAGTTGTCCTGATCCATATCTTGCCACTGGACCCAGAAGGCTTTGGAGGATAAAGTGATGCTGGTGACTTTGCACAGCTCTCCCTCACTTAAATCAAACTCACCTGGAAGTCATGGCATCACCTCCCTGATGTCATGGTCCTCTTCTAGAACGAAGGACAAACAACAACAACATCTCATACGTCACAGACTTCTAGAAATTTCACCAAGGGAACAAGAATTCATACTTCTTTTCTTGCCCCATTCCAACCCTTAATACCACAGTGAAAGGTAGAAAGGAGACCACTTGATGAAGTATAAGAAGAAAACTTTATATGCAAAACAGACAGTTGTCAGGAGATAGTGGAGAAAGAGCCAGCCTCAGAGTCGGGAAAACCTGGATTCATGTCCAGCTGCTGATATATGTTACCTATTGACTTTGAGCAAATCCCTTAGACCTTAGTGCTCCCCGCAACTTTCTTAACCAATGGAAGAAATTTATATGCCAGGAGTTCTCTATACAGAAGAAATCATAAATCCTCAAAAAAATAACCAAACAAAGATAACTATTACTTTTAATCTGACTCTGCCCCTTGCCTAAGGGCTTAATGAAAAGAACATGTTATTTGATCTGTCAGTCAATCAACAAGCATTTATTAAGCACTATAATAGTACCTGTGCCAGGAATAGTACTAAACACTAAAGATACAAAGAAAGGCAAAAAATATGGTCCCTGATCTCAAGGAGCTTAGGAAAATTCTAGGACCTAGGAAGACATGTGAATAACAATGTAGATATGAGATACATACAATGTAACGGAAGGCAGTCTTAGATGGCTACCAGGGGAGAGGCCAGGGGAAGGCCTTCTGCAGAAGGTGGACTTAAGTTACAGGACTGGGTCGATATTTTCTCCATTATAAACACCAGGAAAAGCTGAAGGAGTTTCAAGCTACTCAGATCCAAGTGAAAAACAAATCACAACATTCATTCCTAAAAACATTTAAAATATTCATATATTGGCTTATAAGAGTCAGTTATTCTCAGTTGAAGAATTTTTCTTAAAAACAAAAGACAAAATAAGCCATATCTATTACTATACCACTAGAAGGGGAAAAAAATTCAACCTTTAGATTTTTAAAAAAATACCAATACTGACCTATGCCCAAAGGGCTATAAAACTGTATAAAACCCTTTGATCCAGCAATACCACTATTAGGTCTGTATCTCAAAGAGATCATAAAAAAGGGAAAAGGACTCACATGAACAAAAATATTTATAGCAGCTCTTTTTGTGGTGGCAAAGAATTGGAAATTGAGGGGATGCCCATCAACTAGGGAATGGCTAAACAAGTTGTGGTATATGAATATAACAGAATACTACTGTTCTTTAAGAAATGATGAACAGACAGACTTCAGAAAAATCTGGAAAGACTTGTATGGACTGATGCTGAATGAAGTGAGAAGAACCAGGAGAACGCTGTACACAGTGACAGTCACGGTGTATGATGACTGACTTTGATAGACTTAGGTCTTCTCAGCAATGCAAGGATCTAAGACAATTCCAAAAGACTCATGATGGAAAATGCTATCCATATCCAGACAAAGAACTATGGAGCCTGAATGCAGATTGAGGCATACTATTTTCTCTTTTTTTTGTTGTTTTTTCTTTCTCAGGGTTTTTCCCCTTTGTTCTGATTCTTCGCAACATGACTAATGTGGAAATATGTTTAATATGACTGTACATGTATAGCCTATATAAGACCACATGCCGCTTTGGGAAGGGGGGAGAGGAGCGAAGGGGGGGAAACTTAGAACTCAAAATCTTATGAAAGTGAATGTTGAAAACTAAAAATTAATAAATAAATTTTTGAACAATACCAATACCTTGTTAAGTTAGAATATAGTTCTCTCAGACTGCTCAAATGAGGTAAATGAACAAAGAAATAGATATATTCTCCCAGTCCAATTACCAGTATTAGCTTCATGTTAAGACTGATTCTTAATGGACAGCTGTCTTGCATTAGAACTGAAAGAGGTCATCTAGTTCAACTTCCTCATTTTTCAAATGAGGAAACTGAGGCCCAAAGAGATTAAGTAACTTGCCCAAGGTCACACAGTTAATAAGCATCAGTGGCAGGATTTGAACCTACCTCTCTGATTCTGTAGTCAGTGTTTTTTTCCACTGTACCACGATGCTATCTCCAATGAAATGTGTTAAGCTGCCAAGATGACAAAGTACAAATGACAATGATTCACTTTTTTTTTTTTTGCTGGTGACCTTTTTTTTAACATTACTTTTTTACTATTTTATTTTTCCCCAATTACATAGTAAAATAATTTTTTAACATTTTAAAAAATTTTTGAGTTCCAAATTCTATCCTTCCCTCTCTCCCTCCCTTCCCCCTCTCCCCTCCCCAACCTCATGGCAAGCAATCTGATATAGGTTATACATATGCAATCATCAAAGACTCATTTTAAAGGCCACTGTCATTTCAAAGGCAGCTGTAACTCAGAAGGAAAAGAACAGTCAAAAACCTGAGCCCAAATTATTTCACCAAGTTGCCGCCTATTTTAAGCAAGACTCTTTGAGTCTGTTTTTTAACCTGTAAAAAGAATAATAATACTTGCACTATTTCTCTTATAAAACTATTGTAAGAAATAACTTTATGGAGTACTATATAAATGAGAGTTAATTTCACATGGGACAAGAAACTCAAAAAAATCATTTTTGTCCTGACCTACAATTTCATTGCTGTGGGGAACTCAAAGTATGGAAATTTCTACCAATACAGATCAGCAATTCATAGGTACCTTAGTCTTAAAGTTGTCCTTCAGTCAGTCAGTCAACAAGTATTTAGTAAGTAGCCACTATCTATCAGGAATTGTGTAAAGTATTGAGGATAAAAATAAAGGCAAAAATACAATCCCTGCCCTCAAGGAGCTCACATTCTAATGGAGGAGACAACATGCAAACAGCTACGTACATACAAAACATATATAATATAGTACATGAAAAGTAACCTCAGAGGGAAGGTACTAGGAGTGAAAGATACTGAAAGGCCTCCTGAGAAGGTGAGATTTGATCCGACTCTCGAAGGAAGCCAGGCAAGTCAGCAGACAAAAGTGAGGAGGGAGAGTATTTCAAAAGAACAGTCAATGAAGACACAGAGTCAGGAGATGCAAAGTTGTATAGGAGCAAGAACACAGGTGTTGCTGAAGTATAAAAATGCATGGAAAAGAATCAAGTGAAAGAGTAGAAAGATAGGAAGAGGCCACTTTGTGAAGGGCTTTAAATGCCAAATGGAGAATTTTTATATTTGATCTTAGAGGTAACGAGGAGCCACTGGAGTTTACTGAGCAAAGTCATGACATGAGTCAGACCTTCACTTTAGGCAGATCACTTTGGCAGCAAAATGGAGGATGAGGTGGAGAGGGAAGAGAGTTGAGGCGAGAAGAATACCCAAAAGGCGACTGCAACAGTGCAGGCATCAGGCAATGGGAGCCTGCAACAGGAGGGTGGCTGTGAATGGAGAGAAAAAGGTGTACAGAAGAAATGTTGCACAGGTAGAAAATAATGAACCTTGGCAACGGCGACGATGTGTGGAGAGTTGTCTGGGACAATAAGCAGCTAACTGGCTTGCCCATTTATGGTGACACAAAAGTTATCTGTCTGCAGCAGCACTTTAACTCCAATCTCTTGGCTACAAGACCAGCCTTTTCACGGACAAAACAACTTGTCATTCAGTCATTTCAGTTGTGTCCCATGTTTTCTGACCTCATTTGGGATTGTCTTGCAAAGATACTAGAGTGGTTTCCCACGTCCTTCTCCAGCTCATTTTACAGATGAGAAAACTGAGGCATACAGAGTTAAGCAACTTGTCCAGGGTCACACAACTAGTGTCTTAAGGCTAGATTTGAACTCAGGTCTTCCTGACTCCAGGCCCAGCCCTCTATCCACTGCACCACTTAGCTGCCCACATCAAACAACTACAAATCCATAAACATTTATCAAGCATTGCCTAGATTATCAAATCCTCTCTTAAAATAACTAAATACATTAGTTTGCCTAGGTAGGTGAGTACAATAGACACAATTAAGGCAATCACCGAAGATGAGTTAGAAGAGTTCTCTAGCCAAACAAAACCTAAGTCTCAAGTTTATCGTTACCAAAGTATCATAGACTCAACCAAAGATTATGGTATACAACTGCATTCAAAGCAACAAAAATTTCATTCTATATCTTGCAAAAATATCAAGAAAGCTGAGGGGGCAGAGGGAGAGTAGAGAGAGAGGAAGAACAGACAGATTCCTGGTAAAGTGCTCAACTGTCTGAGAATTTCCTTCACCCATCCAGTGTGGCATGAGAACAGAACATCTCAGTTTCATGTGCCACTAGGTGGCAGACTTCAGGAGAATGAAATAATCAAATGTTCTGATTTCTTACAGAGATTTAGAGACAGTACCAAAATAAAGTTAAAATACAAAAGTAATAAATTGTTTTCCCAAGTTAACAAGTTTGTGGTCAAAAAAGGTGCCCCAAGAATTTTTCTACAATCTCAAGAATCACATTTTTGACATGTTAGATTTTCCACATATCAAGTAAAAGAAACTACATTCAGAAATGAAATAAAATCCCTTCTCCTTATAAAACTTACATATATACATATATACACATGTGCTGTATACACATTATCTGTATACATATATGTTTTATGCATATATGTATTTGTTATGCATAGAAAATATCACTTTAAAGATGAAATCCAGGTGAAATATTTCATATGGAATGAAACAATGAACTATATACACATATACACATATATATAGATATGTATATATACCATTTAAAGCTGATAAAGGGGAAAAAAATAACCATTTAAAGCTGATAAAGAGAAAAAAAGCATTAACTTCCCTAAGAATTTACTAGATTAAGTTCAATTATCATAAACTGAGGTTTTCTAAATGTACTCACCTCCTCAGCTGTGAATAAGTAAAGAGGAGTCAGGGGAGGGATTTTGTTTAATTCACAACTTAAGCCAAGGACAGTCAGGATCTCCTTAAGGACTTCATATCTCTTGAAATTGCTCGATTTCAACAAATTAAAGGCATCCTGAGTTTGTATTAAAGTGCTGGGAGACATTTCCAAGTGCACCTAAAGAAAAGAACAGAGAATTAGGATGCCTACATATGCTACAAGATAAACACTCACCAGTTAGACAAAAGAAAAAAATTAACAAATACTTATCTAATGATGAATAAGGCCAAAATTTAGAGCCTGAGACAACTGTATATGTTACTTCAACGATGGGCCAATTAAAAAAAACTCAAAAGCCTTACTAAAACAATAGACAATCTTCTTCTTCTTCTAGGCTAGAAAAGTGCCTGAGAGGTTTTTATAACATTGCCACAATGAAGATTCTGAATGTTTGAGGACTAAGAAAATCATCTCTCTACATATGTCAACAAATGCACTAAAGGCCAAAAAGTTTCTTACTCCCTAAGCTGGAAACCAAGATTAAATAACTTACCTAAGTCTAGAAGATTGTTTAAGTCATACTGCCATAAACAACACCACACTCTTCCTCAGCTAAAATACAAAGTAGTATTTGTATACACTTAACCAGCATATAGAATTGCTCACAGAGCTGCCCTAATGAGTAGGCATGGCATTATTTGGGGGGGGGGTTCCAAAGAAGGGCATTTTTTGCCCTCCCAAAAATAGAGCTCCCTGGAGGATGACTGATATTTCAAAATCGGACTATTTCTTCTTCTTCTTCTTTTTTTTTTAAAGGCAATTGGGGTTAAGTGACTTGCCCAGAGTCACACAGCTAGTAAGCGTCAAGTGTTTGGTCTCAGGCCAGATTTGAACTCAGGTCCTCCTGACTTCAGGATCAGTGCTCTATCCATTGCACCACCTAGCTGCCCTCATTTCTTTATCTTATGACTCTGCTGCCCTGTTAAAATACAAATCCCTCCATGAAGATAAAACATTAAGTCTTATCAGTTACATATGCCTTATTGTGAATTAGCTTATCATAACATATCTATCTAGAGAATATGTTTTGTTCAGAGTGGGTGAACAGGATAGGGTTGGTAATTAGGGAACGAGAGTGGTACAGAGAGCTCAAGGACACTGTTGCTTGAGAAAAAGAACCAAGAACCTGCTTTCACAATTACATTTTCCCAGAGTAAGTCACACTTGAAGAGTTTATAAAGCTCTGAGCCAGATAGTTGCAGGGAACTACCAAAAAACAAAGTGAAATACATCATCTCTGGACTCAAGGATTTTGCAACAATAATAATGATGATAATGATGGTGACAACTAGCATTTACATATCAACTTTAAGGATGGCAAAGCATTTTACAAATATTATCTTATTTCACCCTCACAACAACCTTAGGAGGTAGGTGCTATTATTATCACCCCCTGACAGATAAGAAAACCAAGGAAGAATAAGGCTAAATGACTTTCCCAGGGTCACACAGCTAGTAAATGGTATGGCTGAATTTGAACTCAGTGCTTTCTGACTCCAGATGCTGGACTCAGGTGAAGATTGAGACATATATTTCAGGGACATGGCCAGGGTAGAAACTAAAATTTTGTTTGACTAGTTATATTTTTTACAAAGATTTTGTTTTTCTTTTCTTTTTTTTTTAAAGGAATAGGGAAAGAATGAAAAAAATAGACTTGATTGAAAAAATCATTTCAAAAAATAAAAAAGAAAGCTTGGCAAAAGAAAAATGTTTATAATAAAACATCTTTAAGATGTCAGGAAGCAATGACCTAGGCATACATATTTTTCATCTATAGCTTCAACATATACGTAAATGGGCTTCATGAGGAAAGAGAATATATTTAAATAGGTAAGACAATCCAAATTGACTTAATTGGGCTCACTGTCATAGAGTTTCAAGACTACGCGACTTGTTTCTGTAGGATCACATATTATAACTGCAAGATACCTTAAAGGTCATCTAATCCAACCTTCTGTTTCACAGATGAGGAAACTGTGGCCCAGAAGATTAAGCTACTTGCCTATCATCATATAAGTAGCATGTGTTATATCCAGAATTTGAATCGAGGTCCTCCAACTCCAAATGCATGCATTTAATATGAAATAAATGGCATAACAGCAATAACTGGTAATATGTACAAAATACTTTAGGCACTTAAGAAATATCTCATCTCCCCAAAGAGAAGGTATCAGCAAAAGCCAGCCTTGTATCTCTCAGTTTCTTGTGATTTTCATTCCAATTATCAATCAAAGAGCATTATAAAAACAAACACAACTCTGACCTCAGTTTTGGCCAAGAATAACAATATCTTTCTCTAAAGTAAAATAGGGAACTTTACTGAACAAGATACTGACAAGTTCTAATCACTTCGCTATTCAAAATATTAGTATGAATCTGGATACCTTCCTCTAGCTTTTTTCAGTAGTAAGAATGAGAAAGTTGGGTTTTTCTTCTTTTTTATAATTACTGGAAATAGTACAAAATGTGAAGTTCACTTGACTACTTACAGGATCACATATTTTCTTTTGTCCTTAAAGAACCATCTTTCTCTTATGGTATTAAATCACTTATTATTATTACATTTATATTACGGAGATGTAGTATAACTCAGTGGACAAAAAACCAGCCTCAATGTCAGGAAGACCTGACCAATGCCTTGCCTCTGACCAATGCAGGCCATGTGAAGCTGTCACTTTACCTTCATATCCCAGACAACTCCTCAAGGTGAATTGCAGGGAAGGTTCAATAAGCACTGGAAGAAGTAGTTCCTTACCAGGACTACCCTACACTGATGAAATTAAAGACTTGGGTTTTTTTGTTTTTTTTTTTAAAAGATTATATTACAAAAGGGGAAGACTATGAAATTGAACGGGGAAAACTAACTGGCCTGAACTAATGATTGGTTGATGTCACTGATATTGTTCCATCTATATATTCCTGAGGAGAAAATATGAAGTCTATTACTAGACTGGATAACATCTAAAATCAAAGACAAAGCCCTAAAGATTTTAACCTCATTTTTGAGGGTCTACTCTATAGCTTTTTTCTCTATGGTAATGACCTGCAAGGACCAAGTTATATTATGATAACTATGTATAATTTAATGGTGTAGCAAAACAGCTTTCACTATGTAAGGTACAGAAATGGAGAGCAGGAGCAGTCTAATCAGTTTTCTAGAAAAAGTATGCACATAGTGGTGGTAACATTTGTCAATCAGTCAATAAAAATCTATCAAATACCTACTATGTGCCAGGCACTGTGCTAAGCATTGAAGATACAAAAAGAGTAAAAAAGAGTTCCTGATCTCAGGGAGCTCACAATCTAATGGATGGAACAACAAGAAACAAATATAAACAAACAAGTTATATACACAATAAGTAGGAAATAATTAACAGAGGGATGACACTAGAATTAAGAGGGGTTGGGAAAAGCCTCCTGTAAAAGACAGGATTTTAAGGGGGACTTAAAGGAAGCCAGTGAAGCCAGTGAGTGGAATTAAGGAGGGAGAGCATTCCAGGCAGGAGGGATACAGAGAAAATGTCCAGAAAATGACATGGAACAACAAGGAGGTCAGTGTCACTGGATCAAAGAGTATGTTGTGGGGAGTAAGGTATAAGAAAATTGGAAAGGTAGGAGGAGGCCCTAGCCTCCTATGAACCTATGAAAGGTTCTGAATCCCAGAGGATTTTGTTTTTGATCCTGGAGGCAATAAGGAGCCCACTGGAGTTCATTGGGTAGGGAAGTGACATGATTGGACCTGTGATTTAGGAAAATCACTTTGTTGGAGGAGGGATTGGAATGAGCAAAGACCAGAGGCAAGATTTACCCTAGCAAGCTTTTGTAATAATTTAGGCATGAGATGACAAGAATCTGTATTACAATAGTGATGATGTCAGAGGAGAGAAGGGAGTGTATTCAAGAGATGTTGCAAAGGTGAAATCGCCAGGCCTCAGCAACACAATGGATATGTAGAGTGAGAGATAGCGAGGAGTTGAGGATGACACCTCGGTTGTAAGCCTGAGGTATTGGGAGGATGACGTTCACCTTGACAGTAAGAGAGAAGTTAGGAGGTGGGAGGGACGGTTTAAAACTTGTTATGCAAAGCTAAAATATAGCTCCTGGAAGCTGAGATGGTCAGCAATTTTCTGAAAAAAAAAATAGAGTGCCTTCTGGGATAATGTAGTTGCAGAAAGAAAAAGAAAAAAAAAGTTTGGATTAAATGGCCTCCAAGGTTCCTCTCCGCTCTCAATCTATGACTCTATAATTCTTCACTAAGTCTTTAAAAATAAATTCACAAGAGACTTCAGAGTCACACAAGTGACAAGATGGAGGACTAGACAAATATTTTCTCTGATTCCCATGACTTCGCAAACCTCTACAAAACAAAAATTATGAACCAAAGTTAAAACAACGTCAGCTGTCTCCATGTTCTGGTCTATAAGAACACAAAAGAAGGCAAAAACAACAATAATGATAAACTGATGCTCACAGACCCCGAGTCATTCAGCACCCTCCTCCAACTCCCAGGCTACAAAATACACAGTAATCGCAACAATGTAAGTGGAAAGAACAATGATACACCAAAACATCAAAAGTAAATGTAAAAAATTATAAAAATCAAGCAAGAGTCAAATGAAGAGAGATGAGAAGACACCCTAACCTACCCCTTCTTGAAGGTGGAGGGTTCACAGATATTACACTTTGCGTGTGCTTTCAGACTTTTTTAAAGTATCGGTCTGTTATGCTGATTTTTTTTTTTTGTTGTTCTCTAAAAAATACTATTTCTTATGTGGTAAGGTTCTCTGGGAAGGGAAGGGAATGATACTTCAAATAACTATGGTGATGTAAGCAGCAGAAAATATCAATAAAACCATTTGGAAATTAATTCAGGCAACTTGCAGCAAGACTGGAAAAATGCTTGTTATTCTAGATCTTTCCTGACCTACAAGAGTTATTTTGGTTTTAAAATCTTTTTATGTTAAATGTTTTAAGAGAAGATGATCACCTACCCAGCAAAACTGAGTATAATCCTTCAGGGGAAAAAATGGTCATTCAGTTAAATAGAGGACTTTCAAGCATTCTTGATGAAAAGACCAGAGTTAAATAGAAAATCTGACTTTCAAATACAAGACTCAAGTGGAACATGAAGAGGTAAACAGGAAAGAGAAATCATAAGAGACTTATTAAGGTTGAACTGTTTACATTCCTGCATGGAAAGATGATATTTGTAACTCATGAGACCTTTGTGAGTGTTAGGGTAGCTGGAGGGGAAAAAATTATATGTACGTAGATAGATAGATTAGATAGATTAGATAGATTAGATAGATAGATAGATGAAGTTTGAAGATGAAGGGGTGATAATCTGGATAAAAAAATGAAATGGTGAGAGAGGATTATACTGGGAGAAGAAGAAAGGGAGAGGTAGAACGGGGTAAATTATCTCACAAAAAAAAAACAGAAAAGAAAAGGTTACAATGGAAGGGAAATGGGGGAAGGCGAGAGGGAATGAGTGAATCTTATTCTCATCAGATTTGGCTTAAGGAGGGAATAACATACACACTCAATTGGGTATGGAAATCTGTCTTACCCTATAGGAAAATAGAGTGGGAAGGGGACAAGAGAGCAAGGGGATGATGGAGGGGAGGGTAGATTGGGGGAGGGGGTAATCAGAAGCAAACACTTCTGAAGAGGGACAGAGTCAAAAGAAAGAATAGAATAAATGGGGGGGGCAAAATAGGATTAAGGGAAATAGAGCTAGTTTTTCACAACATGACTACTATGGAAGTGTTTTGCATAACTGTCCATGTATAACCTGTATTGAGTTGCTTGCCTTTTCAACGAGGGTGGGTGGGGAGGGAGGAAGGGAGAAAATTTGGAACCCAAAGTTTTAAAAACACATGTTTAAAAAAAATGTGTTCACATGCAACTGGGAAATAAGAAATATAGGAAATGGGGTACAGAAATCTATCCTGCCCTACAGGAAAATAGAAGGGGAAGGAGATAAGAGAAGCGGGGGGGGAGAGAGAAGGGAAGGCAGACTAGGGGAAGGGGTATTTAGAACGCATGCCATCTTGGGGTGGGGGAGGGGCGAGAGGGGGTGAAAATTTGGAACTCAAAATCTTGTGGAAGTGAATGTTTAAAACTAAAAATAAACAAATTTTTAAAGAAGTTAAAAAAAAAGAAAGACGAAAATTCTAGAAAAACAAAGAAACTAATATCCTCTTTTGGGGGAGACCAAAAAGGTCTGTGGATAGATTTTAAGGGATCTGTGAACTTGAATTTTTTTTAAATTACATCTTTATTTTTCACTAACTTCTAACTGAAACTTAGCATTTCCCTCAATCATGAATTTTTTTAAAAAATTATTCTGTGAAGGGTGGGAGTCAAGACTTCATCAGACTGCCAAAAGGGTCCATGACACAAAAAAGTTAAGAACCCCTTAATAAGGTCCATCTCAATTGGATCATGTGATAAATTCACATAGAGATATAACATCTTTTTAATTAAAAAAAATAATAAACTGAAGGAGCAGCTAGATGGCACAGTGGATAGAGCACTGGCCCTGGAGTCAGGAGGACCTGAGTTCAGTCTGGCTTCAGACACATAATACTTCCTAGCTGTGTGACTCTGGGCAAGTCACTTAACCCCAACTGTCTCACTAAAAAATAAATAAATAAGTAAACTGAAAAGGAAAAAAGAATAGCTAAAATAATTAGGTCCAAAAGTAATTCACTGAAACCTTACTATGGGACTTCTTAAACAGGGGTCTGTAAACTTGTAGGGGGGATTCTTTTTATAACTATTTCAATAAAACTGACTCCCTTTGTAATCTTATGTATTTTATTTTATGCCTTTAAAAATATTATTCTGAGAAAGAGTTCACAGACTTTAACAAATTGCCAAAGGGGTCTGACAAAAAAAGTCAAAGAACTCTAGTCTTAGGAAAGGAGTGTCACTTTTAAATGTCTCTCTTTCCATCAACTTTCAATTGAGATGAACAAATCAAAAATTTTAAAAAACCCTAAACTCATGGGTTATACATGTTCAATAAAGTCTCTAACTGCCAAAATGTGTTCTGAGATTAATACACATTCAGCAGCTATTAAACTGCACATACCCTTTGACCCAGTGATACTGCTACTAGGTCTATACTCTAAAAAGGTCAAAGAAAAACGAAAAGGATCCACATGTACAAAAATATTTACAGTATATCTTTTCATGGTGGCAAAGAACTGGAAAATGAAGGGGTGCCCATCAATTGGCTAAATAAGTTATAGCATATGAATGTGATGACATACTCTTGTAACATAAGAAATGGTGACAAGGATAGTTTCAGAGAAACCTGAGATTTATGATTTAAAGCAGAGTGAAGTGAGTAGAATCAAAAGAAAAATTTATACAATAACAATATTATAAAATTAAACAACTTTGAAAGACATAGGAACCCTGATCAACACAATAACCAACCAGAGTTCCAAAATATTCATTATAAACCACCTCCAAATAGAGAAATGATGGATGCAGAGTATAGCTTGAAACACATTTTCTTTCTTTCCTTTTTCTTTTTTGGACATAGCTAATTTGGGGATCTGTTTTGCTTGATCATACATATTTATAATAGGTTTTGTTTTTCTTGCCTCCTCAGTTAAGTGGAGAAGGGGGAGGTAAGAGGGAGAGAATTCAGAAATGAAAATAAAATAAAATTGAAAAAACAAAAATTGAAAAATAAGAATTTTTTTAGAAAATACAGTCAGCCCAATTCTCAACACTTTAAGATGATGTTGATGATCACTTATATTCAGAATAATAAGCATGAGGTATTGCAAAATACCAAACCAAAGAAAGGATCAATCATATTCTCTATGCTCTTCTTCCTAATTCAGGAAAGTAGACTGATACATTTTAGAAAATGTTTTCCACAATAAAGCTTGAAATAAAAAGGGTTTCCTAATTAATCCTCAATTAATCAGAGAATTATTTCAAACACCTCCCCACTGAAAGGATTTGGATTATTCATGATGTATGCACAATACAAAAAGAAGTCTAGAGCAAACCAACCACTCAACATGAACCAAGAAAAAACCCTCAGTTTCAATTAAGTCAAAATGATCCTCAAAATGCAAACATTCTCAACCTTTTTACGGCAAAAGCCATAGAAAAAGTTAATTTCTTACTAGCTCTGTCATTAATACCTGACAAAGAATAGCTTCTCCTCCATTTGTTCCAAAAGGCAAATGAACAATTATCTTGTCTTTCTCTATGTTTTCTAAGTAACCCTTGAGCTTTCCAAGACTGAGAAGCTCCCCAGTGCCTTCTTCATAAATGCTGCCACTGGTCAGAACATTCAGTTTCATTTCATTGTTATCAGCCTTGGAAAAAACCAGGGTCTGAATGGTCTTCTTCAGTTCCTCTTTGCTTCTCAGCTGTAGCCCACCAAATGTGAAGGAGGAAGACAGCCCCAAAACCTTCCCACCTTGGGATAGGTATGCCATGAACTGTTGGCAAATTGCTTCAGAAATGGGCTGCTCTGTGGCAATGATCAACAGTAAACAGTTATGCAGCCATGGATCACTAAGTACCTTCTTCTCCTTCAGGTGATAGATTGTATAACTATCAGTGTCAACACAGTCAGTCAGAATGGAACGGAGCTGCTGGAATCTTTGATGTGCTTCCTGGGAGTCAGAACCCACAAAGAGTAAAACATTTGGCGGCTTTCCAGTAACATTGACTCTTTTCCCTTGTCCAATATGGCAGGCTGTGTTAACACTGCCCTCTAGGCTGCTATTGAAATCATAAGGAAGATCAGGAATGTCTTCTGCAGATGCAAATTTGACAGATTCAATGGTGCTGCTTTCTAGTTCCAAACATTCATGGCAGCTCGAAAGATGTAAGTGATGGTGTTCATCAACATCATCTCCTTTTTCTGATACACTGGTGGGTTCTTCCTGAGAAGCACTGCTTTTCTTCTGATTACACTCCTCATCTTGAACCTTTTGGTCATCCCTGCCTAAATGCTTTGTCCCTTCCTGTCCAGGTTTAATTTTGAAAGATAAGGCTGAAGTTAATTCTTCTACTTCTGTGATCGTGGATGATGTCAACTGCTGTAGCTCTTTCAGCACTGAATCCTGAAGATGTACAGCTAGGGCATGAAGAGAAAAGAACTGTTTTTATTTTTACTGACAAAATTCTTTTCAGCACATCTTATAAATCCCCAGTGTATTCCAAAGTAAATCCCCCACGTTACCCTATCTTCACAAAGTTAAGTAAAACAACACAAAAGAGATTGCAACCAACATTACATGCAACCTTTGTTCAAAGGAAGAACAAAATAAAATTAGTGGTATCAACATTAAATGAATATATAAGTTTTTCATTATTTAAAGTTGGAAAAAAGACAATACCTACAATTTGTAGATTCAGCATTTTATACTACTCAGATTTTATACCCAAATCACATTTTTCATGCTAAAGCAAAACAACCTAAGGTAGGCATTCCACTTCTTTATTTACTCATAACCCCACTTCAATCACATGATAAATTCAAGGAACTTCCCACACAGATTAAATACAAAATTTTCACAATGCTTTTTCTTATATAAATCACACAAATTTGAAGCTAAAAATACCCCAAAAACCTACACAAAGTGATTCAAAACTAAATTAGCAGAATCATAACTATAAACATTGCCTATAAGTACAAATCAAGGAGAAAAAAAGACAGAATGGAAGGAAGAAAAAAAGAAAGAGAAGACCTAAATGAAAAGCTAGCAACCTGGAAGGAAACACAGAACAAAAGCATTTTTTTCATCTGTCTAATGGCTTTTAGTTCAGGTGTGGCGAACCTGAGGCCTCAAGACCACATGTGGTCCTCCAGGTCCTCAAGTGTGGCTCTTTGACTGAATTCAAACTTCACAGAACAAATCCCCTTAATAAAAGGATTTGTTCTGTAAAACTTGAATTCAGTCAAAAGGCTACACCCAAGGACCTGGAAGGCCACAGGTTCCTCACCCCTGCTTTTAGTTCATTTGATTCTAATTTTTAAAATGTCAAAGATTTTAGTGAGAGTTTATACATTTTGTATGTCTGATCATTTGTTTTTATTGTTGGGGGAGGTGGGCCAGAAAGCCTCTGAAATCCCTTCCACTTATAGATCTATTATCCTATAAGTTCAAGAATGTTTGCAGAAATGGATCATTTTAATATTTTCTGGGCACCTTGAATTTAAACCAAACCAAGAAGCAAAGCAATTTTCACAAGTTCAAGGACTTTCACATGACAGATACTTGTTCATAGATATCAAATTCACTAGAACTACAAACTCTTCTAATTAAGGAAGAAACATTTTATATATGCATTTATAAAGATTTCTAGATTTAAAAAAATTTTTCCAGAAGCACTTTAAAAACAACATTTACAAAAAAAAATTGAAAGAAAATTTCAAAAAACTAAGATCTAAGCGACTGAGCTTAGAGATGGCAGCAACTACTATAACTTCAATCAAACATATAGGTTAAGAAGTAGAAGCACAAAGTGACTAAGAAATGGTTTTAAGTGAGACAGCAAAAATAACATGGCTTCTGAATTTAAAGACAGTACCCTAGAAAGGACAACATAAGGAAGTCGTTTTTAAGGGTATTCTATAAGCTTTTCAACTAAGAGTAATAAATGAATCAATCTATAAGCTTTATGAAGCAATTATTATGTGCTAGGCACACTGGGGATAGAAGGAAAAAGCAAAAACAGTTGCTACCCTCGAGAAACTTACATTCTAATAGGGTGAAAATACATACATGAATGAGTACATACAAGATTAATACAGAGTAGAAGATAGAATTAGAAGGTAAGGCCTCCTGCAGAAAGTGACACTTGAGCTAAATCATAAATGGAGCTAGAGATTCTAATAGTCCTATGAGGACTATTTTGGCTCTACAATAACTCCATTATAACCTAATAGAATTATTGTAATTTAGCTTTCTCAAATGCTGAAATTGTTTCATTATGAAAGTTTTCAATTCTATTTAAAAGTACAGCTTACAAGCTGTCAAGAGGTGAAAGAGAAAGCATTAAAATAATGTATGACAAAAGCATCATACCACTGTTAAATGTTTTGTTTTAGGGTTTTTTCAATGCTTACAAGATTTTGAATTAGACTGAAAATACTCACTGGTCTTGAATCTTAGTAACTAAAGGGGAAAAATAGTCTTTTTGGCTAAAATAATAACATATTACAGATTACTATTATGAATCTATTCATGAAGATACGTACAGACAATCTTTTGTGGTACCATTCCATTATCCATTTGGAGCCTGTTTTCCATGAAGGCAATGCCCAACTCGCTGAAATTATCTATACTTGCTTCAGCAAATAGCTTATAAGGCTCTCCAGGTCTGCAGGCTAATGGCAAACAACAGTCTGACCACTTTAGAATCTAAAGGGAGATGAGAAGAAATAAAAAGCAAGAAATTAGTGCAGACATTTTAAAGAAAAAAAAATCTTTCCCATAGTACCTAGGAGGACTATTTTGGCTCTACAATAACTCCATTATAACCTAACAGAATTAATTACTGTAATTTAGCTTTCTCAAATGCAGAAATTGTTTCATTATGAAAGTTCTCATTTCTATTTAAAAGTACAGCTTACAAACCAACAAGTGCAATCTTTTGACTGCAAAGAAAGAAACCTTAAGATTCTGGAAGAACTAAATAATGCTTAGTAGTAAAAAACAAAACAAAACAATTCTAGTGAATAATCATACTTCAATTACATAATACATACATAATCATACTTCAATTACTCAGGTCCAACTACATTATGTATTCTCCAAGTAGGCTCTTCATTACTAGGCCCTCTTCCTTACTAGGTTCTGCTTCTTGCTATGTTAACATCAAGTCACATTCCCATCAAGATGATCAGGAAAAATAGAAAGAAGTTAAATTCAAATGCCAATTATTAGGAGCTGTGAGAAAAGCCTGGGGGATAAAATTAAATGATAAAAAAAAATGATTAGATTATCTGTAGATTTCACATGTTCAAGTACTGCTATAACTCAATATAGGGCGAGCCTTATAACCCAGGAGGAGACTGTAATTGTTGGCACGAACAGAAGTTTCAAGGGCCCAACAAGGTCTTTCTACCCAAACTATTTCAACTCAGTTGCTTTAATGTCCACAACTTAACACCTTGACAACTATTCCTTATGCATTCTGTTTTCCTCTTTTACAATACAAAAACCCCTCTGGAAGAGGAAAGATACACTAGTCACTTAACAGACGCTTTCTTCTTAGACAGAAGGGCATATGAGCACAGGATAACTAAAGCAAATGTTGAAAGTGAGAGGTGGTACCTTAATGTAGCTGCAAATTCTTTTTTTTAAACAAAAAAAGTCATGCCCCTTCCCTCTACTGTTCATAAAACAAGCTATATAATTTTATTAGCTTGGGTTTTTTTTTACTTTTTGTTTTTATTTTTTTTCAGACTGTCTGATTCAGTTTCCTCGTTGTAAAATGGGAATAATAAGTTACCTACCTCCCAGAGCTGTCATGAGAATCAAATAAAATAATATTTGTAAAGTGCTTTGCAAACCTTAAAGCGCTATGTTATTGAGGTTGGTACTTTTATTGATCCTGAAGGAAGCCAATGTAGCATAGTGAAGAGGTGGGACTGAGGGAAGTGGGGAAGGGGAGGGGAGACAGAAGGGAGAGAGTTACATGGTCAGACTTACACTTTAGAAAAGTGGAAGTGGGATTAGAACAGAAAGAGTGCTCATTAAGGCAGGGAAATCAGTTAGAAGGTACTGCAATAGTTTAGGTGAAAGTGATAAAAGCCTAATAAACTAGTGTTGTGGCTGTGTGAGTGAAAAAAAAAGATGTATGAGTTATGTAACACCACACTAAAGAGATGGATGATAGATAATCCCAAAGGTATGAAAATGCACTCCCACTCTCCCCACTCCCAAAGGTTACAAAGCAGAAAGTCATTTTCATCACATCAAACTAACCCATTTTTAATTTCAAAGCTGCACAGTCAAACAGTGGTTATCCAGAATGCTCAAGCAACAAGCATCTCATTTAATTGAATTTTCTGATAATCTGAATAGTAATCAGAAAATCCTGTTTCAACACTTATTGTTGAAAATCTCTCTAAAATATCACATCACAGTACACACACACACACACACACACACACACACACAAAACATAGATTTGATGACAAAGTGCTACTTAAAGAAAGAAAAAGTATATAGCTGAAGAAATTCAGTGCTCATAATTAGGCCGTGCCAAAAAAAATTAAAATGGCCATATTACCAAAATTAATTTACACTTTTAATGACATACTACTCAAATGGAAAAGGGAAGAGTTTGTGACCAAAGAAGAAATAGAAAGGAACATGGGAAACAAAATGGATAATTCTGATTACATGAAATTAAAGGTTTTTGCATAAACAAAACCAATGTAGCCAAAATTAGAAATAAAGCAAGAAAATGGGGGGGAAATTTTTATAGCAAGTTTATCTGATAAAGATTTCATTTCTCAAATATATAGGGAACTGAGTCAAATTTATAAAAAAAAAAAAAGCCATTCTCCAGTTGATAAATGGTCAAAAGATATGAACATGCAGTTTTCAGAAGAAGAAATCAAAGCTATTAGTAATCATATGAAAAAGATGCTCTAAATCACCGACAGAGAAATGCAAACTAATGTAACTCTGAGGTACTACCTCATGACTATGAGATTGGCTAACACAACAGAAAAGGAAAAGGACAGATGCTGGAGAGGGTGTGGAAAAATTGGAACACTAATGCACTGCTGGTGGAGTTATGATCTGGCTCAACCACTCTGGAGAAAAATTTGGAATGATGCCCAAAGGGCTATAAGACTACAGATATCCTTTGACCCATCTATCCCACTACCAGGCCTTTATCCCAAAGAGATCAAAAGAAAAGGAAAAAACCTACATGTACAAAACATATGGCACTGAGGGGCTAAACAAAATAGTTCTAAAGCCTCCTCCATGTGACAATCTCAAAATACTTGAAGAAAACTATCATGTTCTCCCTGAATCTTATTTTCTCCAGGCTTAACATTCCCAATTCTTTCATCTGCTAATCATATACTATGAACTAAAAGCCCTTTCACCAACTTGACTGACCACTCCAGATACTCTCAAGTTTATCAATGTCCCTCTTAAACCATGTTGCCCAGAACTGAATACAATACTCCAGATGAGTTCTGACATGAGCAAAGTACAATGGGACTATCATCGCCCTATTCTTGGAAGCTATATCGTTCCTAATGTAGCCCAAGATCTCATTAGCTTAACTTCTTGGCTGCCACATCACACTGCTGACCTATATTGAACTTGTCAGCCACTAAAACCCTAAGACCTTTTTTCAGAACTGATGGTCTAACTATGACTCCCCCATCCTATACTTGTGAAATAGATTTTTTTACCCAAGTGCAAGACTTTATGCTTATCTCTGTTGAATTTCTTCTTCTCAACCCAATGCTCTACCTCTTATCAAGATCCTTTTGGATCCTGACTATCATTCAGTGTATTAACTATTACTCTCAATTTTGTGTCATCTGCAAATCTGATAGGTATAAGTATATGAATGTGATATGGATCTATTTTGATACAAATTCCCATAAGCTCCCAGGATCCATAGCTGGTAAACAACCACACCATGCTTGCGCTACGTTAACACATCATTATATAACCACAGTTAATGTAAACTTTTGAGCTTAGCCTGTAAACACCACACTGTGCCTGCTCTACGCTGACACATCCTGATAATCAAAGTTACTGAAAACTTATGAGCTTATTGTTGGCATGTTGCCTTCTTTGTCTGTTTCTCTATAAATCAAGTCGGCACTGGCCAGGAGATGTGGATACCTTCTCACCTAGTCTTGACCTGCTGCCATTGAGAATAAAGTGGAATGAATCCCTTATCTACTGCTCCATTATCATTTTTCAGCCTGGCTGAATCTATTGTGAATTTGCCAGGAGCTGAGCTATTTCGTTACAGTATACCAGTTATGACTTTTTCCAAGTCCTTGATAAAACTTAAACAATGCAGGGTCAAGCACAGACCTACTGACACTAAATAACTAGCTATGAATACATCTGTATGTTTTGTCATCTATTCTCTTTTTCCATCTTCTCCACAAATTATATATATATATATGTATATATATATATATATATACACATACACACACACACATATGTATTTGTCAAAAGCTTTGCTCAAAACAACATAAGGCAAGAAGCATTTAATAGCATAGGCACTGTGCTAATCACTGGGGAAACAAATATAAGCTAAAAACCCTGCCCTCACAGAGTTCCTCAAAACAAACTAAAAACGATGAAATGAGAGCGATAAAGGTACTTGGCTCAGGGGCATGGTGCTGAAATCCAGAAAGTCAGAAGCACAGTCAGCAGGAGAATTAAGGTTGGCTTGCACGGACCCTTCAAAAAACAGAGACCTCAGGGGGAACTGACCAATGGCAGAAGGGAGCTGACATTGCAGAAGAATATTTCAGAGTGAGAAGATCACCAAGGCTGATGAATGTTCCAGGGGGAGAGTAATCAAGATTTAGTATATCGCTGAAGTCTGGAAAGTCAGAAGCATAGTGGAGAGGGAGGAAATGCTCAACTCAAGGGAAACTATATCTATACAATTTCCCTCATTTACTGGTCTAGTAGTAGTCTGCCAAAAGGGAGGTAAAAATTAGACTGGAATCACCTGTTCTTAATGAAAAGTAGGTTGACTCTGTTATTTCTACTTCCTTTTCTACATGTTCACAAACTATGTTTTTAATGATCCTTTTCAGACTTTTCCCAAGAATCAAAGCCAAGCTCACTAGGTTTTAGTTTACAGTCTCTGCGCTCTCCCTTGAAAATCAAAATCACTGCCCTTCTCTTCAAAGAAATCATTTCCCCTTGTGTCTTCAAAATTTCATTCTTGAGCCTCTTCCATTCTTCCTGGAGCATTTTTTCTTATCTTATCTTTTCTTTGAAACCTTTGAAATCTCTTTTCTGAAAATTTAGGGTACGTGTTAAGATTATGCCTAGACGTCTTCTCCTCTGTCATGACCTTGAGAATAGGAAAGTCACTTCCCCACTGGATTTCCATCATTTCTGCCTTCAGAAACTAGTTTCTGTTAATCAGATACAATGGAGAATTTCCCCTTGTTGGTTTCTCTACTTTTTGAAGGATGAAATTATCATTAAAGCAAATGAAGGAATTATTTGTTCCTCTGCTTTTGTAAGAGAAAATGAGATCCAACAAATGTCTCCGATAACTAAAGTCTCACATCACTACTAAATGATGTCTCTGGGCCAGACTTCTTACCTGTTTCCCAAACTCCTCATCTATTTCCTCTTAATGTTCAAGTGGTTCATAGTTTACTCTAATGACAAAATCA